TCTTCTTCACTCTCTTTCTCTCTCGCTGCATCATTTAAGCAAGCCAGAACAGCTTTCAGAAATCAGAGAATTGCCCTATATTGAAGCAGGCAGGAGACATGGGGGGAGCGTAGTGTACACATCATTAGCATGCGAGCAAAGTAATGCGATATCCACGCCCACAACTAATTATGGCATCTACTTAATAGCAATGAATCGCAGCGCAATCTCATTAGCCATGCGCCCCGCTGCCTTCAGCAGGACGCCGCTGTCGCCCAAGCGCCGCTTTGACCTCGCTGATTGCCAAGTGCTTGAGATTACATTACATGCCTTCATCGGTAGCTCCGATTGCAGCTGCCATTCGAATCGGCGACAACAGGTGGCCGGGCGGTGGCCGGGCGGTGGCACGGGGTGTGGATCAGTGGCTCGGCGGCTCACCTCTCGGCATGCCAATTATTTCTGATTTCCAGAGCACAAGAGCGTAAATTGATATTAATTAGTTTAAGTACAGAGCAGCTACTGAAACCGATATCAGCTTAATTAGGCGCCCACCGATAGGCATCTATCAAAATGCATGTGAGCTCCGCTCTATCTAAACTCAGGGAAGCTAAGCTGAAGTCAAGGTTCAGTTTCTGTGGCATTCAAATTGTGAACCACGTACTTAATATGCCTAATCGATAAGTATCGATAAGAAGTCAAAGCAAAATGCATATGAGTAAGAATGAGGTGGAGGCGGAGACTGAGGTTGAGGCTGAGGTTGAGGCTGAGGCTGAGGCTAAGGCTGAGGCTGAGGCTGAGACTGACACTGGGACTAAGACTAAGACTAAGACTAAGACTAAGACTAAGACTCAAACTGAGACTGAGACTGAGACTGAGACTGAGACTGAAACTGAGACTGAGACTGAGACTGAGACTGAGACTGAGACTGAGACTGAGACTGAGACTGAGACTGAGACTGAGACTGAAACTGAAACTGAAACTGAAACTGAGAGAAGGAGAACGAGAACGAGAACGAGAACGAGAGGACTAAGACTGAGAAGAAAAAGGAGAAGGAGAAAAAGAAGGAGAAAGAGAACGAGAAAGAGAAGAAGAAGGACAAAGAGAGCGAGAGGACTGAGGCTGAGACGAGAGGAGAGAATAAGCAGCATAACTACAATCCTTATTGGAGCTCGTTCCCAACAGATTAGATTTTGCCTTAAGCTCCTCCTCAATAGATATCACCTACACAGCAGCCAAAAACCATTGCAAGCTTCACACCTGTGCCCAATTATCACCTGCGAATAAGCCACACAAATTGCCAGCACATTTGCATTCAAATGAAGGCGCGCTCCCTGCCACTCTCATTCTCCTTCTCTCTCCCCTCGCTCTCTTTCTGTCCCTGCCATTCTCTCTGCCTTTCTCTACACTTTTTTTATAACCAAATTTCAATTGAATTGGCAAGTTTTTGTGCGGTCTGCCTGTGCCGCGTTGCCAATTATTGCTGGTTTCGCTTTGCCCACACGTTCAGCTCAATGGCCACGCCCACGTGCCCACACTCGAGACTTTACATTCTCTTTGATTCTTTACCTTTTCGACTCCTTTCATTTGATTTGTTTGTATTTTTTTTAACAGTCTGTTCTGGTTCTGCTGCTGCTGCTGCTTCTTCTTCTTCTTCTTCTGCTCGCTGTATTCACAAATTATTCGTGTCCACTCGACTGCAGCGGCTCGACGTTCGACTTTTTTGTTTGGCCGTCTTTTAATTTGTTGCGATTTTTGTACGCTCGCATGCACACACACACATAGAGAGAGGGAGGTTTGTGTGTGGGGGGTGTTGTTGGGGCCATTTTTGTTGGCCCACTTTACGCTCGACTTAATTTGTTTACTGTTGGTTTGGTGGCCTTTGCCAGCGTCGACGCTGCGCGCCAAATCAAAAATAATGGCAGCTCATGGACCCCGCCCCACCTCCACTCGCACATGCAGCCCCTCTCCAGGGGGAGAGAGACAGCGAGCGAGCGAGAGAGAGAGAGATGCCACGCTGTGTCGCATATTTGCGCTGCTGCAATATTTATACAACGTTCCAGCCTCTCGCTCGCCCACTGACACGCCTCGTTCCGCCCAAAACTTTCACTCACTCACACACACACACACACACACACACACACACAGGCTGACCTTTTCTCTGTCAGTGTATGTGTGTGTGTGCGCTTTACACATTGGTTTTATGACACTGGCTCGACCTGACCTGCATATGCCATCCATTTAGCCCGCTCGCAGCGCTCCTAATGAATTGCAAGGACCCCAAAGCGATTGTCCTTTTATTTGTTTATATGTATATGCACATTGTTGTTGCTGCTGTTGCTCCTTTTGTGTTCCGTTTTTATCTTTAATTGTGCGTTAATAGCGTAAACATTTTGTGCATTGTATTTCGCTGGCTCGTAATTGCGCGCGGTCATAATAAAACTGGCAGCGTGAGAGGGGGGAAGAGGCAGCGGAAGTGGGAGCGGGAGCGGAAGAGGGAGAGACAAGCACACTGAAATGAGTCCTTGGCGCGCATTTGGCATGCATTAAGCGCCCCATTGAAATCCTTTCATCGCCGTCCTTGGCTTTGTGTATTGAAAACCCGCGAAACGCAGCCGATTTCGCATGTTTGGCCAGACTGCGGGCTATTTGCTGTCGTCGACAGTGCAGAGAGAAGCAACTGCAATATGTTGCTCCGATATTTACATATTTACTTATCACTATGCTTCTCTTGCACCTACATTCGTCTACTCCACCTGCTTTTATATATTTCAATTGGGTTTACCTTTCAGTCGTTTGAATTTAACTTCGGATTCTGCATCTCAGCTCGCTTCTTTCTGATATCAGGAGAGCTTCTTTACTCTCTCACTCTCTCTCTCTTTCTCTCTCGATCGATTTCTCTCTCTCTCTCTCTTTCCCTTTCGGTTATGTTCTTTTTCTAGACCTCGCACTTCTTTTCCTAGTGCCACAATTTCTCTCTTGTTTGTTCCTCCTTCTTCTATTCTCTTTTCGTCTCGCTTCTCGCTCCGTCAATACTACTCATTATGTAGATCTCTTGTTTCAATTACTAATTCTATATTTCCTCTTCAAGTCTTACACCTGAAATCTCAACTCAACTACATCAGAGAAACCGTTAAGCTTCTCTCTTCGTTTGCTCACCAATTTTAACTACATTCCTTTAGCCCTTGTCTTATATAGTTTATGTGAGTTGGCCTAGAAATTCGGACTACGGCTTTTACGAAAAGTACACGATTCGTTGCCTCAAGTTTCTCGCTTCAGTCGAAAGTTTATTTTATTATTAGTTCTCATCCATGTCGCCTCTATTCCAATCCTCAAGCTGTTCTCTGTCTGTGCTCTTCATTTCATTAATACTCAGATTGAGCTTATCTCTCTCCCTCTCTCTCTCTCTCTCTCTCTCTCTTGCTCTTGTTCACTTATTACGCTTCTCCCTGACAGTCACATAGCAGTCCTAATCCAACTATTTCTTGTGCTGTTTCTGCTTCGCTTCTCCATAAGCTCTAATGCAACTGCAACATGCTGCGCTTCTTGTTCTGCTTCTTGCTTCAGCTCCAGTTGAACTGAGTGCGCAGCCATCCATCAGGCCATGGATGCTAATGCCAATGTTTTCATGGTCGTAAGCTTTGGTTATATTAACAGCCATTTGGCTCTGAAGCAGACTTCAGATTCTGATGGAGTGAGCTGCTCACATCGGGCCGAGACTGGCCCGGACCCGGCGCTGCTCTGGCTAATATGCTGGCTAAAAGGCTTACAGAAGTTTTTGCAACATTGCATTACAATGCCGCTGGCTGGCTGACTGAATGCTGCCCGAGATGAATGAATGACTGACTGAGTGACTGTCATCAATTTGTGCCATTTCTTTCTACCACAAAGCACACACAAAGCGGGCGACAGAGTGCGAGCGAGAGGCGCAGGAGTTGTTGCAAGCATAAGCAGCAACGGCAGCACGTCGAGTACAAAATGCAGCCAAGTTGACAAGCACTTGAGCGCGCATTAGAGGCGATAGTAAACAGCTATCTGGCATCCTTGTGCCTCGTGCCTCGTGCCTCATGGCTGCTGGCTTTGCGTGGCATGCCATAAAAACCGAGGCAGCGGACAGAGGGCTGGGGGCTGAAGCGGGCACGATTGGGCGCTCGACATGTCTTGCTTAAATCAGCACACAAAAGCAGTCAACAGGCAGGCAATCGCTATGCAAACTAATCTCTCGATGCTCTGTCTTTAACTAAAGAACTTGTCAAGAAAGTTGGAGTCGCATGGAGGATATACTTAGAATCAGATCTAGCAGGTGCTATTTGGGGCTTCTACAAAACTTGACTAGGTGGTATTATTTAGCCATAAACTAATCGATACCTATCGATTAATGTAACTTTAGTTAATATTACTTAGACAAGAGTCAAGTTTCTCCAAGCGTATCGAATTGATTGTTATCGATTAATATCGACTAGTGATATCGTCGCTCTCAGCTTATAGAAATATGTCTAGCTGTTATGTAGTCTCTATGCATACGAAATGCGCCGTCTGTGTCTTGCTTTGCTTCCTTCATGTTTCTCATGGTGTTCTCATCCTTTCAATTTGACTTTCGTTTTCTTCTCTCTTTGGCTTTCGCTTAGCTTCTCTCTTTCCTCATAGTTCTCTCCCTGATTTCAGTTTATCAATTTGTTTTAATGATTTCTCTCTTTGGCTTTTCTTGATAAGGCTTCTATAATACTCCGCCCTTTTTCTAACCCTGAAGACTCTCTGAGTTATTTTATCTCACTTTCTTCTGGTTTTTCGTTCTTCATGTCACTTACTTTGCCACCCCAAACTTCTCTCACTACTTTCTCCCTTCACCTATTCCAATGCTCTCTCAGTTTCTCGTTTCGCTCACTTATAAAAGGGCATTTGCTAGTCGGACTTGCTACGCTTTTAACAGGTTTATGCATGTTTCGTCTTCATCTTCTTCTTGCGGTATTTTCTTTGGAGTTTTGGTTTCCTTAACTATAGCTGACGATCTGTGTGACATGCACGTGGTTCGAGCGCATCTCGATTCTGGTTATCCTGTTGAACTGCATTACCCTGGGCATGTACCAGCCCTGTGTGGACGATACCTGCTTGAAGCCGCGCTGCAAAATATTGCAGGTGAGTAAATACATACGTATACATATGCGATACCTAAATACATATGTCTATGTGGAGGTAGGAGGTGGGAGGTGGGAGAGAGTGGAAGCCTTGAGCTGCCGACGCTGGCGTCACATTAACTGTCATTTATTTAAGCAATTTTTTGGCTCACTTCCTGTCTGCCTCGCTGATGACATCAAACAGGCACTTCGGCTCATTAGGCAGCCAACGCACACACCGTGGGGCTGGCGAGGGCGGGGCAGATGCGGGGAAATGCGAGCTGGTTCCTGGGGTTTTTCTTTTTTTTTTTTAGGGCAATTACAGAGCCACGGCTCTGGTATAGAAAATGTCACCCTGGGAGAGGAGGGGCGGGGGCGGCAGTTGGGGTGGAGCGTCGCCAACGTGCGAAAATGTTTGTAAATGATATGGAAGGCAGACATTTTTGGCCGCAGCCAAGTGTAAAGCGTGCGAAGGGCGACAAATTGGCAAAGCGGGCGGGGTCGGAAGGGGGCAGCGGGGCAGCGGGGCAACGAGGCCAGCCCAAAAGTGAGACCGAGATGGAGACGGAGATGAGGACCAAGCACGAGCCAGGACATAAGTGGCGCCCAAATTGCTGAGAATTGTTTGAGCAGTGCCAAAAAGACAGAGACGGCAAGAGAAGACACAGAGTGAGAAAGGGACAGCGCAATGCGATTAGAAGTCCAAATGGAATTGGAACTAAAGTTGAGACCGAAACTGAAACAGAAACTGGAACTGGAACAGCTCCTGCTGAGCTGCGTCGGTTCCTCAGTAGTTTTGGCTGTTTGCTCAAAATGTTATTATGGGGCGCAGGCGACGCAACGAGAGGGGCTGGGGTGGGCGTGGCACTTCATGCATGGTGTAGCAACACGTAGTGCTAGCCAAAGTGGACAACAGCTCATTTTGACAAGTGTCAACCACATTACGCTTTAGGCACTAAATGAGCCACACGCTCACTCCACTCATCTACCTCCTCCTTACTCCCTCTCTCTCTCGTATTCTCTAAATGCCTCAGCTTGTCACACTTCATTATCTCAGTTAGTTCAGATGCCAGCCAAAATCAACTTTGCAGTTAAGCTGAATCAAGCTAACTCAAGTTAACTCGGAAAAAGAGCTCGGGTGATGAGGTCAATTGGAGTAGGTGCATAGCTACAGAAGCGGGGCCGATTATGGAAAATGATATATTTGAGTTATGTAACAATCATGTCGGCTATGAGCCCAAGCAAAGTGTTGAAGAAGCGCAGGACTCTGAAGAAAGCGACGATCCCTCTTAAGGCTAGGCTCAGCTCTTACTAAGTCTTCATTATACAGATAGTCAGATGGATACACAAATATCAATAATATAGTAATCGGAATTAGAGAGGATGGCACTAGAGTCTATCGATACTTGGCTATAGTGCAATCGATACTCGATGGAAATGTCATTAGCAGAAAAGGTAGAAAATAGGAGAGTAAATGATAAATGATTCAAATGAAAACTGAAATAAGGAATTTCCCTATATGCATAGATACATAATGTATGTATATAGCGGCCTATAATAACCATATCTTATTCCATTCATTCATATATCACTCAAACAGATCTTCGATGACATCATCTTTGCCTTCTTCGCCCTGGAGATGACCATCAAAATGGTGGCCATGGGCATGTGCGGCAAGAACACCTATTTGGCCGACTCGTGGAATCGACTGGACTTCTTCATCGTGCTGGCCGGGCTGCTGGAGTACGTGATGCATGTGGAGAACCTGAACTTGACAGCGATACGCACGATCCGAGTGCTGCGGCCGCTGCGCGCCATCAATCGCATACCCAGTAAGTGCGCACTACCGTCGGGTAGTCACTCTCCACCCATTGAAGCACCACTCTCGTTGCAGGCATGCGAATTCTGGTGATGCTGCTGCTGGACACGCTGCCCATGCTGGGCAATGTGCTGCTGCTCTGCTTCTTCGTGTTCTTCATCTTCGGCATTATCGGCGTGCAGCTCTGGGAGGGCATCTTGCGGCAGCGCTGCACTCTGGAGCGACCCGAGGGCATGATCTATCCCATAACGTAAGCGAGTTTAACTGAAGACCCCATTTCCCCCGCTTGGGGACTTTTTGCTCTTTTTGATTTCACTTTTGATTTCATTTTGTGTGGGGTGGGGAACATTCGATTCGATCGACTCGATTCGACTCGATCGATTCGATTCCACGGACTGAGCTCAACTGAGCTGACGACGCGTTTGGGTCACATATGTCTGTCTCTGTCTCTCCGCAGGCGCCTTCAATGCATATATATATATAAGTACCTGAATATCGCTTTGATATATCATTTTCAGTTTGTTTTGATTCTCTTTACATATGTATATATATATATAGATCTTATATATATATATCTTTTTGATATGATTTTTGACTTTGATTTTTGATAACTGCTTAGCTCATTTCAGGCTCTCTCTCTCTCCCTCTCGCTCTTTCACTTGGTCTTTCTAACTCTACATTGCTCTCTCACTCATTTACCAACTCACTCGCTCTCGCTCTTTATTTCTCTCTCTCTCTCTGTCTCTCTCTCGCTGACTTTTTTTTGCTTTCTCTCTCGCTTTTTCTGGGCTGCCTGGCTGTTAATTCATGTGTTTTGTTTTTCTACTTTTTTGTTTCCTTGGCTTTTGCTTTTTTGATTTTTGGTAAATGCCACTGACAGCTTACAGCCACACAGCCACACCCACACCCGCCCACATACACGCACACACACACACGCACAGCGATTTGTGCTGTAAATTGTCCATTTGCATACAAAATGCTCAGAGCGTTCGTCAAATTTGACGTCTGGCAGCGCTGCTCATTTGAAGCAGTGTTGCAAAGCGCACGAGTAAAAGTGTTCAACACGCACGCACACAGACACTGTTGACTGGAGCCATCGACATAAGCATGCCAAATTTTAGTCTATTCTCAGCTTAAGTGGGCCCCGAGTGCTTGTAAATGCCTTGCAACGGCAGAAGGCGACCATGGAGGACGGTGGACGGAGGATGGAGGAGGGGATGGCAACATAGTTTGCGTTAAAGGCCAATAACTGAATATGGAAAACGCCAAACATAATGTCTCCCAGTGACCAGCCACTCCCATTCGCCCCATGCTATGCCCCAGGCTGTGCTTTGTGCTCAAGCTATGTTTGGAGCTGGAATTCAATTAGGGTAGAGCCAAAAGTGGAGAGATGCTCAGACCCACCACTGAACAAGCGATCAAGTGGGGCAGGTGTTGGAGTGAACCCCTAAACTGCCTGAAAGAGGCCGAAACTCAAGCGATCATGGCGGACGTTGACTGTGGGATAGCCACGCCTATTTGTAGAACTCTGATCAATTTGTTCATGGTTAAGCTAAATATGAATTCAAAATTAGCATAGAACCCCGTTTTGGGTTGTTTATTTAACATAGAAGAGTGACGATGAGGGAGACTCAATATGATAGATCTTCGACAATATCGCTTTACTAGGGTGACAGTTCATACATAGCTGAAAATAGGCCACGTAGAATATATGTATATACATACATACTTACGTATATAATATATCAACTCGATTTGCCATGCCCAACTTCAAATAGAGCTGTGAATAGCCATATGAAAATTATGTGGAGACAGTCTATAAGATAGATCTACTTCCTCAATCAATAATAAAATTGATTTTCAAAGCAAGGAACTACATCTAAATTGTAAGGAGAATACAAAAAAGTGACCATGGACTAAGAGTCTATATTATCAAATATATAAATATGTCCAAGGAAGAGCTTCAATATGATATACAGTAGACTCCGGTTAAAACGACGCCGCTTATAGCGTCTATACGGTAATAGCGACGAAAATTCAGGTCCGCAGCCAAACTTTTATGAGCAAACTTAACGACGGTCCCTTCAGTGTCGTTATAGCCGGACTCTACTGTATCTCTTTTCGCAAGTCACACAAAAAGCTGACCATGAAGAAAGATCAATATGATAAGAATTCTGGATCTAGCCTTGTAGAACAAATAATATGCATTAGTTCAAACTTACGCCAGAGTTTTTCTTTTCCCTTCTCAGAGAATGTCGATTGTCTTTTGGGCAGATTTCTGGTCACTTTGATATGATAGTGCCTGAGTAGCTGCCCAAAGGCATATGTCAACTCCATGGTCACTTTGGCCAAGCCCAAGCATGTAAATGGGGGCGGGGCTGTCTTTAGCAGGCGCCCCTTGGCTCTGACAGCTGGCAAAGATTTCAAACTTGGCAAACAATCATTTATCACTGGTCATGCTCCGTCTATGGCTGTCTCTCTCTCTCACACACACACATACTCACTCTCTCTCTCTCTTTCTCCGTGCAATGACGTCAGYAGCACACACACACACACACACTCGCAGCTGAACACCCAAATGTAGGCAGCATAAAGAATCGTTTGCTTTACTTCTTTGCTTTCGTTTGCCGTTCTTGTTTTTGTTATCGTTAATCGATTGTTTTTGCATGCAGCAACAAACTGTACCTGCGTGGCCGGAAAATAGGCCACACTTGCAGGTGTTAATTTGACGCCATTTTTCGCTGCCTCGCATAATTACTGTAAATGCAAATTGCCCATGGCCCACATGTGTATATACCTATATACCATACCATATATACACCCATATATATATATACAGGGCCATATATGTATATATCTATATAAATCCTCGTTTGCATTTTCATCATAATTTTTCATATATTTTTTGTGTTCACATGCAAATTTGGTCCACTCTTTTTCCTCATATTTATTTAAACGGACAGCACTTTCCGCAGCTTGTCGAATTGATATATGCTCAATTTATGCTTTTATGCTCGTTCACCACAGCAAATGGAAGCATATAGGCTTTATTTCCAATGAAACTGGCAATTCTCGTAGCCAAACAGGATTATCAAATATTATATCTAGTCTCTCGACTCATCTATACCGTTATCTCTACAGATTAGTTGAGGCTCAAATCTAATTGAGGTAGAGTTTTCCATTTGAGTACATTTTCTTCCTTCTTCCTTCAATATATTTGCATACACTTTCCTCGCTTATCACCAAATTCCTTCAGCCTGCTCACTGAGAACCCAAAAGTGTCTAATCATGCTGAAGGCTAACAGCTAAGCGACGAAATGTCTGCGCACTGAGGCCATGACAAAGGACTTTGTGTCGAAGTTCACGTTGCTTATTAATAATTGAGATGGAGTTTCATTTCATTTTCAAGTTTGCAAGTACTTTGACCTCTTTGGCAGGTGTTGGATCATTTTCAATTAAAGCGCAATACAAATTAAAGCCTTACACAGTTGAATTCTATAGATGCCTTAAACAACTGCCGAGATACCAATATAACAAGTAGCGTGAGCGAGTATTTTCAGGTCGGTTAAGCCCGACTGTAGAGCTTAAAATGTTTTTCTTTTTTTTTTTATTATTTTCGATAGCACTCAAGTTGTCTTTGGACCGTTTTGTAAATTTTTGTATCAAATAAAAAAAAAAAAAAATTTTTTTATGGCTGTCAATTTCAGTTGTTTTACTTTTCCTTAAATTGAGCCCAGGAATCGGCTTAAAGTATACACGTCTGACATAGCACAGAGTGCAGAGCTATTTCCGACTCTATTGTCCAAGATCACAGGCTGCTTCGCTCTGTAAAGCATAGAGCTAGATAGTTGATATATACAAAATTTGTTGCAAGTTGAATTATTCTCAGTTTTGCTTATTAAAAAGTTGAGCTTTTCGTTTTTGATTTGTGTATATACATATCTATATAGTTGTGTATCTATATAGTTATATTAAGTTTTGTTATTTTTGAAGTATTTTTATTCGTAATTTTTGTCTACATACCCAAGCTTTAATTGTAATATAGGTAGTACGACTAGTTGTATAAATTTATGTGAGAAACTTCTCCTAGCTGCAGCTCAGCTCAATATGAAAGTATTTTGAGAGTATAGGTTGGGTATCGCTGTTCCTAGGATATATTTGAATTGATTTACACACACCACTTGTATTATACATTCTACTCACATGCACACACACACATACACGCATACACGCTCACAGACATGTGTACAGTCACGTGCAAAAGCTACTACAAAAGCCATTCACAATGGGCAGGCGCGTTTACTGCATTCACACATATCTTCTTCTTATTCTACATTTTTGATGATGAGCAGACAACAGACCAAATAACAACAGCAACAACTACAACAACAACAACAACAACAATAAACAACAAACAAGAAAATGAGAACAAACATCAGAAATATTCCACACAAAAAATACCACATGTACACTGACCTATGTATATCTATATTTAAGTATATTTCAAAATTCTTTTCCTATCTTTTCTTTTCTTGATTTCAATTTCTTTTCCTTTTTTTCGTATTTTTCATAATTTTTTTATTTTCCTTTTTTATTTGAAACAAGTCGAAAAACGATAATATAAAAACAAAAATACAATAATTTAATTTAATTGGCACTGAGTAACTGGAAATGTATGTATACAACAAACAAAAAATACAAAAAAAAAAAAACTTAATTTTAATTCAAATTTAGTTTCAAAACCTTTTTCCAATTCTCTTCAATTATTGTTTATCGCATTTAGTTTCAAATAAGTTTTTCTTCATTTCCAATTAGTCAATCAAATAAAAATAACAAAAAATCATTATTAATACCAAAAAAAGATACTAAAACAAAAATCATACCGGGAACAAACTTTTTGTTTACAGGGGACTACCTGAAGTGTACAGAGTTCGAGTCCGTGTTAACTCGTAAGATAAAATGATTTATTTTCCCCCCTTTCTTAAAATGCCCTTAATACACTACAACAGCAACAACAACAACAACAAAAACAACACAGAATAATAACACCAACAAAATTACAATAAAATACCAAATTTTAAACAAATATTTACCAAATATATACCACACAAATACTAACTGAGTAAATTTGATTAACAACACAACAACACACACACTTACACACACACACACACACACACACACACACACAGTATATAAGTACCCTAGTCGTCTAATATAGCTCGTGCTCTCTATTTCTCTAGTGTACTCTCTCTTTCTCTCTCTCTCTTTCCTTAACTAGCAATATATACTCTCTCTCTCTTTCTTCCTCTCTCCCTCTCTCTCTCTATACTAACCCTGACGCTAGCTAGCGCTCGCGCGCTGCCTGATCTCTCCCAGCGATAGTTCGTATATCGCAAGCACTAATCCTTATTCGTGCTACACGCTCTACCGCTAACACTCCCTTATTCTCTCTCTCTTTCACTCTCTACCTTTATTAGTCTTTCCTTTAGTTTTACCCCCTCAAATGCTAGATTCAATATATATGTTTTATATACCCTAACAACTCTCTGATACTGAATTTCTATAACTCTCTCTCTGTCTATCTCTGTCTCTGTCGTACACTCTCTTAGTAATATTTGCCGATATATACATACTAAAATACTTACTTAAATACTTTTAAACTTATGATACTTAAACCATATATAGACTATATAAACTAGAGCTTAACGAAAACATCTGCTCAATTAACCAATTGTCAAACACAACACTACTCCACTATTGGCCTCACACGTTATGCAACACTGTACAATGCAACGGAACTTACCGAAGCTGTGCGTCCGCAATAGCCACAAGAAGCTTGAAAGCCTGGAAGCATAAGTTACACTAGATATATCTACTAAAAGCACTCGAAACCGTGTGATCAGATAAGCTTGAAACAGACGAAGCTTGAAATTCAAACTAAGAAACATTGTATCATGTGCTTAAAGCTTCTCCCTTTGTCAATCAAGCGAATCATTTGCCAACTTAACTGTATACACACATGATATTAAGCTTCTCGCTTTTCTTTGAGTGTTTTGATCACTGCAAGCAGCTTGCGCTTCCTTAACTTATCACTTACCAAAGCTTTTTGCTGCTTGTCTTTAGGCTTCACGCTGCAAGCTTATCTATTCTGTGCAAGCTACTCTCTTGCATTTGCATTGATCGCCTTTTTTCGTCAAGCCTCTTACTGAGCTTTTCTTTTCGCGTCAAGCTGATTTTTTACTTTCGAGCTTGACACTACTCTCTAAGCTTCTCTGTTAACTCATCTGTTCTGTGAAGGCATTTGCTGCTCTCTGAGCTTCTCAAAAGAATTCCTAAACTTAAACCGGCCAAAGCTTCTTGCGGTCATCGGTCAACAGTCCTTACTGAAAGTATGTACACTCACATTCTAGCACCGACAGACACACACACACACACACACTTACACACATGCACACCTGCAGCAGATGCTACTATAGTCACTCGTAATGTGTTTTTGTAGCCAACTCTACGTGTGTGAACCCTGTGTCAATGTTGTAGTGAATATAACTCTCTCTCTCTCCTCCCCAGTTTCCCACTTTTATTTTGTTGTATGTGTATGTGTGAGTGTGTATATGTATTGATGTCCTTGTATTCGTTGTATTCGTACTCGTACTTACTTGTTAATGTTTTAGCAACAGTTTCTCACTCGAACTTAAACAAAACTATTTTATTTCGTTTCTTTGTGTTTCTAGACTTGATGTTAACAGTGTGTGCGTGTATATGAGAGTATCAGTGTGTGTGTATGTGTGTGTGCGAGCGTTTTTCTTTTATCTATTACTCTTTGATTTATGTTGAGTTTTCAGTTATGTTTTTCGTTTCGAATTGCCTTTGAAACCGAATCCGAATATGAAAAGCGATTTCCCTCGACTACGAAAAATGGGTAACAATTTTGTTCAAGCATATCAATTAGTCTCCACACACACACACACGCACACGCACACACATACACAGAGACACACACGCACACATTTTGTTAGTTTTTGTTTTAGAGCGTTTTCATAGCGTAGTCTTTGCGATAGTTTCTGTTTCTATTTCTGATTCTGTTGCGATTACAGCTGCAAAATGTTCGTTACATTTTCGTTACAATTTAGCTATATGCAATTATTTTCACTCAGACACATACACACAGACACACACACACGTACACAGTTGCACCCTAAAACTGATGCTATCTATGTTTTGTAAGCTCAACTCTTTTTACAGGAAAAACCATCAGTTTCTATTGCAAAGGTATTTAAAGCTGCCCGGCCCCAACTCTAGCTTAACATAACAAACCCACATTGTGGTGCTCCCCCCTCGCCACCTCTCCCCATCGCTAACGCGCCACCTCCCCAACAGAGCTCAAACACTCACACAGCTTGCCGCAAATGGCAGCTACAACAATAATCAAAATTAAAGTCGCATTACAAGCTATACGCACACACTCACACACACACACACACACCTGTGTCTCTCGCGCTCGCTCGCTCGCTCTATCAAAAAAGTTTAGCATACTTTTGCGCGCGAGAATTTTCGCATTTTTATTTCCATTTTTTTTCGCGTTGTTTCACACATTTTCACACACACACACATGCACAGGCCCACACACACGCACACACATGTACAATTACGTTGACATTTTTGTGTGTGCGCCGCGTCACGCCCCCTTCTGCGGTGGTGCAGCCTCTGCGCCCCCCTTGCCCATGCAGCCGCCGGTGCGTTTAATTTAAATTGCTTTGCCTTTACTTTTGCTGTTGCTTCCTTTGTTCTTATCGTCTTTTTAGCCGTTTTCTTTTCTTTTCTCTTCTTTTATTTTTCTTTAATTTTTGTTGAGCTTTACGTTTTAATTTTGTGGCTGCTTCTTTTGAGTGCGCACTTTTTGTGGTCTGCGGCTTAGTCGCAATTTTATGGTCTCTCAGACACGTTCTCTCTCGCATTCTCTCTCTCTCTCTCTAACTCTCTTTCACTCGACTTGTGCTGCTATTGTGCTTGTAGCCTGATGTGCTTGAGCTGTATTTACATTGTGCGTGCTTTGATCTTGCCAAAGCTTCAAACTTTTTTTGTTTTTCTTTCACTCTCTCTCTCTATCTCTATCTCTCTCTTACTTTCGCTTTGTTCTGGCTCTCACATGCAAGCTGAACGCCTCAAAGCTTTTTTATATTTATGCTGCGGGCCTCAGGCTTCGCCCCTTATTAAACTCACGCTTTTAAGCTTTAAAGCTTTGGGAATTTGCCACTATCACTATTTCCTTTTCTCTTTCTTAGAAAAGCTTGAGTGCTCCCAAGCTCTTAGCTTGGCTGGCTTGCTCTTTACACAACCTCGCTCTCTGTCTCTGTCTCACTCTCTCTCCCTGTAAAGCTTTTAAGAAGCAAAGCTTAGCTTTGCTTGTCATGCTTAAGGCTTCGCTCTCTCGCTCTTCACTAACTCGCTCACTCTATCTATCTCGCTTTTACGCACTCTTTCGCTCATTGTCTCACTTTCATTGTTATATTGGACTTTACATTGGATCTGCGTGCCTCTCACTCTGTCACCTTAGCTTGTTATCAATTGGCTCTGCTCGCGCTATCTCACACTCATTCTCTGTCTCACTCTAATTAGTGGTATGTGCCAGCTGGACGACTGACTCGGTCGCAGTCGCAAGCTGACAAAAGCTCTACCAAATTTTTACGCACATAACTGATCATGCGAATCCAAAACGAATCAAAGAAACTCAATCAAAAGCAAAAAAGAAAAAAATATATATGTCTGTATCTATCTATCTCTCTCTCTCTCTCATAGAACTTTTCAACGTATTCTCTCAAATTGTCGATGTATGTGTAAATGTTATCAGAAAACAATAAAAATAACGTAACGCATATTGACATTTACTCTACGTATCAATTAAATGAAATGAAATCTGATGTGAATTATGATTGTTAAAAACGACTTTCTTTTGTGCTCTCTCTCTCTCTCTCTCTCTCTATTTTTCTCTTTCTCTCTCTTTTCTTTCTCTCTCTGTGTGTTTCTTTCTCTTGTCTATTTTCTCTATTTATTGATATGGTACATAATGTGTTTATCTCTTCTGTCTGCCTGGATAATCGCAAATTGTTTGTTTATCTAACCAAACGCAACACGCGACATTCTCTTTACCCCTCCTCCAACTGTCGCAGCCTCTCGCAATATTACGAGTTCTCCAAGGATCAGGACTATATCTGCTCCACGCCCGAGGATTCGGGCATGCATCTGTGCGGCAACTTTCCGCCGTATCGCATCGGATCACTGGTCTGCACTGGTAAGTACCGCCAGCTAATCCACCCCTCTGAGACCCCTACCCACCCACAGCTACCCCCTCTCTCGAGCAGGCAAAACTTTCATTTTAATGAGGTGCAAACTGTGCGTGTTAATCAAATTTTGATGGCACTTTTTAATTGCTTTCGTGCTGCTCAACTTTCTGGCAGCCCCCATCATCTACCCTCCCTCTCACCCCCTATCATCACCTCGCTCTCTGAAACTAATTGTAAACTTTTTGCAGAGGAGGCCAAGCTACTGGACCTGAATGAGCCAACGAATACCTCGTGCGTGAATTGGAATCAGTATTATACGACCTGCAAGCAGAGCGGCGAGAACCCCTTCCAGGGCACCATATCCTTCGACAACATTGGCATGGCCTGGGTGGCCATATTTCTGGTAAGTTGACAGCCGACAGCCGCAGACTTTTTGCCAATTAGCGCATCAAAACTTTTTGCTTAAACAAATAACAATGACCCAACATTGACACAGGACACGCAGCCAGGCAGCCAGGCAGTCAGGCAGCCAGGCAACGAGCGAGTCAGTGAGTCGAGTGTTTGTTGCATGTTAATTCCGCTGCTCAACTGCGGTGCAAGTTGCCACTTTTGGCATCGCTTTCAATTCAAACAACAACAAACACGGCAGCAGCAATAGAACAGCAGCAACAACAACAGCAGCTGTCAAATTTGCATAGGGCGCTAGCTGCTGCTGCTGCTGCCAGCAAAGCGGGTCACGACGATTCACCCCGCGGCACAGCGTGCCCCAAGCGCAATGTGTCAATAGACAGCGCCACGTTGCCACGACAACACGACAGCAGCAGCAACAGCAACAACAACAACAATAGCAACAGCAATGGCAGCAAAGTCGCAACTAGCTGCAAATGTCATTGCAGATTGAATCATTTTCGGAAGTTAGCAGCTTATAGAATCACAGATTTGCAACACAAATTGACAATCCGCATTGCTCGCCTCAGCTCGACACCTAATTGAAATTAGAAACCAAATTGAATACAAAACCCAAAGTAAACAAAGGAATGAATAGCAGAAGATACAATTAGGGATGGAGTAAGAGATGCAGATACAGATACAGATACAGATACAGATACAGATACAGATACAGATACAGATACAGATACAGATACAGATACAGATACAGATACAGATACAGATACAGACACATTTAAAGATCCAATTGCAGCTGCTTTGATTTGTGACTTTGATATTTGACCATTAAGGGTGAGAAGGGATGGGGAGGGGTCTTCGCATCGCCTTCCTTCCCAATGGGGTCAAAGGAGGGTTTAAATGCTTTGCAATTAAACGCAAATCAAATACGCATTAAACCATCTGCGTTGCAGGACGTCACACAGACACGAACCCGACCACACACACGTACGCACACACACACACACACAGACAGCAAACAAAGCAATACTGAAATATTACGCATACGTGACGTGGTACAAAATGAAGAGGAGACCTTTGTTGTTGTTGGCCGCGCTGCCGGCTGCTAATTACGCTAAAAACAAAGGCAACAACAACAGAATTGTTAACGGTTGTCACTTGTCATTGCAGGTCATCTCGCTGGAGGGCTGGACGGACATTATGTACTACGTGCAGGACGCGCACAGCTTTTGGGACTGGATCTACTTTGTGCTGCTAATTGTGGTAAGTGCGTGAGATACACACACATAGAGAATTTATGTATCTATGTGCTATGTATATATATATACATATGTGTCAAAGACTTTTCTGGTTGACTGATTGAACACTGAGCACATGGCCTGAACAACGTATACATAGAGTATCTGACTAGCAAATACTCTCTATACTCTCTCTCCCTCTCTCTCAATTATGTCTAACAGGGGAAAACATAGAGAAAATCTGATATCTCTACAGCAAACTGATTAATTTATTTATACCAAGACTAGTCGATCTAGTATATATACAATCCATGAGCTTCTGAGCACACTTCGTTCCTTTTCCCATATGGCAATACTACCTGTTGGCTCAATTTTAATGGGGTCAGGCCATAACTCAAGCTTGACCTGGCTATTTGACTGATTGCTAATCAGCGTTTACCGTTTATATACCTGCCTCGCTTGCTGGTCTTAAGACCTTCAAGCTGCAAGCTAAGGATAAGCATAAAATTATTCAATTGAGTAGCTATGCAGCCATGCTGATGCTTTGGCATGAGGTGAATGCGCCATTAAGTAGGCTATAAAAAACTAACTATTTGTATATGAAAATTTTACTATTTAACTTGATTTATATGGAATTTCATTACACAGATTTCTCAAAGCATAGACATAATACACAACTTAGCAGATCAAAGGATTAGAGTCTTCAGCTATTCGAGGTCAAGTGCTGAGGAATATTTGATAGGCCAAGTCAAGAGCCAGTTGATTATGTCTCTGAGTCCTCCTGGCTTATTCAATTTGCTGTTCAAACTCGTAATTGGGCTAAGCTGTAAACACAATCATTATTTTCGAGAGCTTTGCCTTCTATTATTTCAGGTCAGGTATTGACATATGAGTTGCCAAATTGTATTTTGGGGCTGGAGCTTTGTTGTGCCCCCACATAGAAGATTCCAATTTGTATTTTAAAAATTTTGAATCGAATTCAGCTGAGTGCACAAAGCAATGAAGCTGAGGCAATTTGAATATGTAAATATGTGCGTTACACACACACACACACACGCACACACACTCATTCGCTCTCTGTCTCTGTCTGAATAAAGAATGATAAAAGTGCAGTTAGCTGGGGATTCATCATGCGTTTGTCTAGTTGACCACATGATGCAAGCTGTTGTTGCATCTTCAGGTGTATGTGTGTGTGTGTGTGTGTGTAAATATCAGATGTCCTTGTACTAATTAAAAGCCTTTTAATCCAACACACACACACACACATAGACTTCATTTATGTTGAAAGCTTGTTTCGCTATCTCGCTCGATTCAGCTGCTTTGTTAGTTGCTCATTTGATGTGCAAAATGATTTTTGCTATTGCCCAGGCAACCAGCAACAGCAACAGCAACAGCAACAGCAACAGCAACAGCAACTGCAGCAGCAATAACTTTTCATATGCAAATAGCTAGCAGTCTATAGGAAGGCATATATCCATCCACCTGCCCCATGGCCCATTCATAGAACAGCCCCGCTGCCATCCATTCCTCCTTAATGTTTTATGCTATTGAAAGTTGCTTGTTGCCAGCAAGGAAATTGCATATTTATGTTGTTGTTGCTCCTTTTTCTCGTTTTTGAGAAACATTTTGTGCAGTGTGCGCCACACAAATTCAGAAATTAGAAACATTTCGCTCGGCATACCCTCGACAACATGAATGCGGATAAATTGGCTGGAGTGCGTCTGACATGGATGACGGGTCTGATGATCTGTCTCTCACTTGATGCCATTAAGAGATGAAATGCCTTAAAATGCAATCTACGACGTAAGGAGAAGATAGTTTTAGTCTTCCTTATAGAAATGCAGTCAATCAACCACTCAATCAGTTAGTCGGTTCAGCAATGAGCCTAGTATGACGACTTCTTCAGAATTGATAAGTATTGATAGTCGGTCATAGAGTCAATCAATCACTCAGTCAATCAAACAAATGATCCACCGCATCAGCGATTCGTAAGACAAGCAATCAATCAATCAGTCAGTCAATCAGACACGCCACAATAAAACAATCAGTCATTAGGCTAGTCAATCAATCAGTCAGTACTCAGTGAGTAACATTCAATCACTTAGACAATCAATCAAAGAGTCGTAACAAATTCCGTCCTTATTCAAATTTCCGAGCAATTCTACAGGGTATTCGCTAGTCTGGCTACTTGTTGACTTTTTCTTTGTTGCTGCTATTGTTGTAGAAAAATATGTTTTCAATTTAAAGTTGGCAAATTTGTTTTGCCAGAAAGCTATTAAAATGCAACAGCAAGCTAATGGATGGCTATCCATAGAAAGCGAGAGAGCAGCACACACACACACACAGAGAGAGAGAGAGAGCGAGAAAGTGGAGCTCGGGCAGTGAGCTAAATTGGCAGCTCAACTAATTTGCAGTCATTGAACGAACAACAAATCAAAAGTTCCACAACTCGTAGCGCCTCCTGTCGACCGGCTGCCTCTGCACCCCCTGCCGCCTCTGCTGCGGCTGCTGCCTGTTGCAGCCGTCGCTATCGACGCTGCCTCAATTTGTGGCGCAAACTAGTTTTGTCGCTTGCGGCATGGAAATGTGAAAAGTTGCGAAATTTGATTTGCTTTGAACTCTAACAAATATTTGGTTTTCTCCACTCATTTGCAGATTGGCTCGTTCTTCATGATCAACCTGTGCCTGGTCGTCATTGCCACCCAGTTCTCGGAGACGAAGAAGCGCGAGATGGAGCGCATGCGGCAGGAGCGCGCCCGCTACACGTCCACGTCGACGCTGGCGAGCAGCACCAACAACTCGGAGCCGGCCACGTGCTATGCCGAGATAGTCAAATACATAGCCCATCTGTGGCGACGCTTCAAGAGACGAATGTTAAAGAAGTACAGATTATATAAGTATGCTGCTTGTCCGTTTTTTGGTTTGATTCAATTACGTTTTGCGTTCACCTGTTTACCTTTCACACTGTTCTCGTTTCTCTCGCCGTCTCATTGTATACTAAATGCCATTAAATATTTATCATCAACTTAACAATTGCTTAGCTTGACAACGACTGCAACAGGTCAGGCTCCCCGTCAGGCATACGCACAGTTCTCACAGTTCCGCACCACACCCACAGTGAAGGACTAATCCTCGCGCTAATCTCCACCTCGATTGACTCGGCTCTTATCTCAGAGCTCACAATTTGCCCCTCTTTGCCAGAGTCTTGAGATTTTCACAAATCCCACTATCTTAACGGCTTGATTAGGCTGCCGGAAACGAGAGTTCCAATGTTAATTTCGTGGCTTCTTATAGAACATGCTCTTTGATATTATCGAACTGTATTATTAAGGCTTTAGCAAGCTTACGCTCAAGTTGTCTTTTATGCCGCATTCGCTTAATCATGTTTTATCGTTTTTGGTTCATTCTGCTTCCGCTCAAAATAAGTTATTCGCAGGCTTACGATAGCTAAACTAACCTAACCTAACTCTACCAGACCTAGCCTAGCCTATCCTAACTCCAACCTAACCTAACTCAACGCTGTCCCAGCTCCATCCTAACTTAATCCTCTTATATCAACATGTCCTAGTCCATAATCTATCCTAGCTTCTTCTGACCCATTCCATGCTTGCATTGCCTAAGCTCCTGAATATGTTCTAGCCCTCCTAAACCAAAGCCCGTCCTAATCCATTCTAACCATGTCTCAAACCAACCTAATATTAACTCAGCTCCATCATGCTTTCACCTGCTCAGACATTTCTGTAACTGATAGATAAACTTTACCAAATAAGTTATAGAAAATAGCATATCCCTTGAACAAATATTCGATAAACTTGTCCTCGCCAAACGTCAAGTCAAGTTTCATTTTTTCAATTGACCAAAAACTTGACATTTCCAAGTATCTTCCATGAGAAAGTTCCCAAATGGAGTTAAGACTTTCAGTTAACTGTATTTGATGTCAGCTAACTGTATTTGATGTCAAATTGACTTTCTCAGCTCAGAAGTTTTCACCCCATGCAGAGTAGCGTCGCCCAGAGAGACAGACCGACCCCTGCCTTAGCCCAACAAGCCGTTAGATTTTATTGCATTTTATTTGCGATACTTCGGTTTCAATTCGTTTTTCCTTTGCGCCTCGGACCCGGATCTTCCACAGCTCTGGCTAAAATATATGTATATATATTTATATATCCAAATATATACATATATATGTCTGTGATTTATTACAAATTCATTTAACATGCGTTCCGCTTCTCACGTCCTGCCGCGCACGTTCTCTTCGTTTCTTTTTCTGTTATTTATATGTATTCTTTTTTCTGCTTTTTAGTTTTCTCGTTTACAGTTGTCAACTTTTTGGGTTTTGCATTTTTTATGGGCTTTGGCTTTCAATTATTTGCACTTGCATTTGGTCGCGTGTGTTGTTCCCCAAATGTTGTACATGTTGTTGTTGTGTCTCGAATAACAAGAGAACAACAAATACAACATATAGAGTTAGTCACCTTAGTCAGTACTGACTGTGACTGTGATTGTGATAGTGATTGTAACTCTGACTGTGACTGTGACTGTGATTGTGATAGTGATTGTAACTCTGACTGTGATATTGACTGTGATTCTAACTCTGACTGTGAGTGTGATTGGGACTCCGATAGTGACTGTGATTGTAACTCTGACTGTGACTGTGACTGTGACTGTGACTGTGACTGTGACTGTGACTGTGATTGTGATTGTGACTGTGATTGTGATTGTGACTCTGATAGTGACTGTGATTCTAACTCTGACTGTGACTGTGATTGTGACTCTGTTAGTGACTGTGACTGTGATAGTGACTCTGATAGTGATTGTTATTCTAACTCTGACTGTGACTGTGACTGTAACTGTGACTGTGACTGTGACTGTGACTGTGACTGTGACTGTGACTGTGATAATGATTCTGACTCCGACTCTGATTCTGACTGTGACTACAAATGAAAAGCGTGCCAACAAAATTATAGTAGCATACACTACGCTAGTATAGTCAGCTAGTATTACTTGCAACACAAATTAAAACTGTTAACATTTAAGCGTACATAGCCTAAACAACATCTATGCATCGAGCATGCATAGCTCTTAGAAATAACCATATGACGTTTGCATGAGATCTCCTCTCAATTGATTTGTAAGCTCAAAAGATTCACCTGCTTGGGCAAAACTTTTCGCAATATCTTCAGCTTAATGAGCTTTTCCAAAAGTGTAAAAACTTTCAAATTCCTTAGATTTAAAGTCACAAGCTTTCTGTATAATAAAGTATGCCAAACTTTTGCCAGTCGAGCAGATTTTTTAAAGCTTTAAGGTGCTTTCAGCACACTCGACTTTAATTTGACTAATCAATGACTATTACGATTAAATTGTAGCGAAAGCTGTGAAAACAAAATGCACTCGTTAAACAGTTGATTAATTTCCAACAGCTACTCAAGTGTTTGCCCAAGGTCTGAAAACAATTCGGCTTTGAATGTTAAACAAGATTGACTCAGTGAAAGTCATGCCCGAGTGCCTCAGCTGGCTCGAGGCCAGAAGCACTTCAGCTATGCGAAATGCTTTAAGTCGTTAGCTCTTTAGTACACGTTTACAACACATGAGTTCCTCTGTCTACCTGTCTCTCTCTCTCTCTCTCTCTCTCTTCCTGTCTCTCCCTCTACTCTCTCTCTCGTTCTCGCTCTTGCTCTCGTCTTAAGTCGAATCGCTATAAAACATTTTAATTTTCATTTGCATTCGTCTCGTTCGACGCTCGTTTGTTGTGGTTGTCGTTGTTTTTGCTTATTTGCGTTGTTCATTTGATTGAATTATGTAATTGTTGTCTAATTAGTAAGCACACACACACACACGCCCACACACACACACATACTTACTGCTACACAATTAGACAATGTCTAATGATGCCACTGAGAGCCACACACACGTAAACCAAAACCTCAAAACAGAACTCGCACACGTTCTCACCTGAGCCACACGTCCGTGTATGTGTATGTGTATGTGTATGTGTCTATGTGTTTGTGTGTGTGTGCGTGTATGTTTGTATGTTATGCATGAATTTACTTTCGACTATATACACTAATCGTTTGCCCTTTTGCCCTTAACACCTTCCACCCTCTGCTGCTGCGTCCTCATCGTCGCCCTCATCCAGGTATCAGAGGCAACAGCGGCGCGAGGGTCTGCTGCCCAATGCGGATAATCTCACGTTTTCGCCGTCGCGCATCAAGTGCCATCACCCGAACTGCCCCAAGTACAGTAATCGCAAGCCGTCCAGCATGCAGGATCAGATGATTACCGTTATGGTGCCGCTCAATTCCAACAACAACAACAACAATAACAACAATAGCAGCAACAACAACAGCAGCAGCAACAATGGCAGCGGCAACGGCGGCGCTGGTGGTGCCAGCGGAGCTGCCGGTGGTGCTGGCAGCAACAGCCAGAATCACACCACTGTGGCATTGATTAATGGCATCAACGGCAGCACCGCCAGCGTCTCGATGGCCCAGCAGCAACAGTTGGTGGCAGGCGGTGCCGCCTCCCAGGCGCAACTCTCCTCGTCGGACAACACGGAGCAGTCGCTGGGCGAGGGCAGCGGCTCGGGCGTGGCCCGGCGCACCTCCTCGATGAAGAAACCCACCACCCACCATGGCCACGGCCTGCAGCTGAAGCCAGAGGCAACTGGCGGCGAGCAGAAGACGATTCTGCTCAAGCTGCCACAGCAGGTCATGGACTCGGACCAACTGATCGTAAGTATCGCCCGAACAGGCGAAGAGGCAGACAAAAAGAAACAGTATACCCATCCAAATACTCTCCAAAGAAATACGATATGCACATGTCTAAATTGTAGGCCACATAAAGTCTAAATGTTATTTACACGCGAAGACCATATACGATACTACTAAGTACGAAATGATATACTATAGCTAACAATATACAATATACTATAAAGCACAAGTTACTTACGATATACCGAATACGGTACGACATACTAGCTCTCAATTAATAATACACTCGCGTTTAAACTCAACATTGTACGGTATACCATCGAAATATCGTATGCGATATATTGGCTGGAATTACGAATTACGCTATTCAGGATTCACATTATATGCAATATAAGGATATATTTTAAAATCTGCAAAGGCAAAAAATTACGATAAAATCGAAATTTCTCATATCGTGAACGACGCTATACGCTACTTAGCTGTTATACGATATTCGATATACGTATCATAGACATGACATTTTAGACTTAGCATAGCAAACACACGATATACCAAATACTATATTCGTGTAACGCACCATAACTGTCATACGATATTCGGTACACACATCATAGGCATGACATCCCAGACAAAGCATATCGTCAAGGTTAAGGATATACGAGATATACAACTTATGATATACCACATACGATATTCGTGTGTGTCATATCGTGAACGAGTTTTACGCTACTTGGGTGTTATGCGATATTCGATACACATATCATAGGCATGACAGCATAACGTCAAGCTTCAGGCTATACGAGATATACTACGTACGATATACCACATACGATATTCGATGTAATGCAGCTCTAGACTTCGCTCGAAAAATCCACAAACAGACTTAACAACCAAGAAACAATTACCTATTCCAATAATACTCTTGACCATCCACTAACTTAACTATGAAATACCGCTAATAATGATCTTTCATATTTGTCACGAACGTTGCACAACTTGTAGCTGCAGTTGGGAAATTTAGGCAAGGTATTGCAATCTATCACAACTACAAATTTTAAGAACCCTCTTTAAAAACATGTATATATAACAAACAAGCTAAAAATAAATTTGAGCTTCGGCTAACCGAGGCAACCCGAGCAGAAATATGGAGTCGAACATATCGAGAGCGTATGGATTTGTTCTGAGTTTAGATTCGCTAATGACATTCAATTAAGACAGAATGTTTTTCCTTGTGATCGTAATATATTTAGCAATAAATATACTTTGTATTAAGATCGAATCGCAATAATTACGATATTTGTTATTACTACAATATTGGGCATATTCCAATAAAAGTTCCCTATTTCTGCAAGGGCAAAAAGCTAATATCTTTGACGAGACTGCAATTAAATAAAAGTTATAATAAAAGCTCGAAGCGATAAGGCAATTGATACCCATTAAATGTGACTGCAATATATAAAATAACCTACGTCCACAGCCCCAGCGCCCCCGGTAACCCATTGACCCATTGACCCATTGTTCTATTAGACCTATTGCTAAAATGCCAATTAATTATTCAAATATTTGTTGCATTTCATTACATATGTAAATAGCAATTGAGATTCATCCGCTTCGGCGATTCCCTCGCACATGAAAGAAGTGATGGCATTTTGAGGGATATAGATATAGATTTGTGCTTTATGAATATTAGATGTAATTATTCCATTGTAGAGCTCTGGATTAGATTTTTGTAATTCTATTTTAGCGCTGACAGAATAGGCTTAGCGGCTCTATGTTCATTGAAAAGCTCCACGGAACAAGTAAAAAACAATACTCAATTAAAGCTTCGCTTATGGTATATAATGAGCTTTTCAATTCATTCAAGAGCTTTGGAATATCGCATATGAGCTTTCATTCTGCTTTAGAATAGTAGATTAATGAAGAGCTTTCAAAGCTTACTTTCATGTGCTTACAATGAATATTTATTGAAATATTTTATTGAATACTTGACTGAAATATAGTCAATCAATGATGTTAGGCACCAGCTTACAAGTGTTTAAAAATAACTTTTCAGTATTGGCAAACGCTTTTCCAGTATTGGTAAATGCACAAAAATGAATGAGTATGAATTAAAGCTAAAGCTAGAAACTATAGATTAATATTCTTATATGTAACTTATCGATAACTTTATCAATTTTAAGTTAACGATACAAGTGTGATATTTATCGATAACAAAGCCAACCTTCAATAGACTAATCAATTCTGTATAAATTATCCCATTGAAAGAATGAAAGTAAGCATAGTGGAAGGCTTAAAGCCGCAGCCTAGGCGGGTATCTCCTAGGCGAGCATGCCCAACTAAAAGCTTAGCTATTTGTTTGCTTGGTCTCTAGTGGTTTTCATTAGCGCTTCCTGCCCAGGGCCCACTGTACATAGCCAACTCCTAAAAATAAAAAAAAAACCGTTTAAGTCGCAATTCTAAATGAACGTTTTAAACTATATTGAAATGTTTATCAACCAATGTTGCAAGAGCTAATGCATATTTATTATTTTACCCATATTCCCCACTCCGATTTCCCACTGGCTCTCTCTCGCTCTCTCTCGCTATCTCTGTCTGTCTGGCTTTCTCTCTCTATCTCTGCCTATAGAGCCATCCATGCACCTCGGGCTTTCTCAGTCCGCCCACCTCGGCCAGCCGCCGTCCCTCGGTGATGTTCAATGAGTACGTGCTGCTGCACACACCGCCAGCGTTAAGCAACGAGCCAGCAGCAGCTGCTGCTGCCACAACAACAACAACAGCTATAGCAACCACTGCAACAGCAGCAGCMGCGGCGGCAACAACAACAGCTGCAGCAGCAATAACCACAGCAACAACTAGCATTGGCAGCAACAGCGGCGGCAACATTCACTCCATGGAGAAGATGACTCAGGCAGGTGACGGCAGCATTTGGCAGGTGAGTGTTTTGGGGCGTCGCGTGCAGCAGACAATCGACTCACATTGTTAAATATTGATGGCAGGTGAATCTACCGCAAAGCATCGGCACCATCGCCAATCCGTATGCCGAGTGCTCTGAGCTGGGTATACACGATGCGATGACTTGTCAAGAGCTCTTAGCGTTCTCTGTGGCATTTTCAGCGGCGCTGCCGACGGGTCAGAGTACGCTCGAATCGTTCTACTCGTCGCTGGCGCGCTGCGATCCCCACACGGTCGAGGCCCTGAACAAGGTGCAGCAGCAGAAGCGTCTGACAGCAGCAGCAACAACAGCAGCAGCAGCAGCTGCAACTGCAGCAACACCAACAGCAACAACAGCAGCAACAACAGCAACAGCAGCAGCAACAGCAGCACCGGCAACAGTTGCTGCTGCCGCTGATATACTCGACTCGRGTGCAGATTTGCCGGCACCGGGCCTGAGCCTGGAGCTGGCTGCTGTCTCGGCGGCTGTGCCCATGGAGAATCGGCGCAAGGAGCGGCCGCATTTGCCCCACAACAACAACAACAATAACAACCATAACAACAACAACAACAACAGCAAAAGCAATCACAGCCGCAACACGGGCGGCGGTCAGCGTCACCATGGGCGCAGCCACGCCCCCACCGGCAACTACATGGAGGACTATGCCTGCTGCTACGATCTGTACCAGAACGCCCTGTCGCCCCTCGACGAGCGCCAGCATCCCCGCTCCCCAGCCCTGCGCCTGCTCATCGCCATCTACCGCTGCCTGATGCGGGTCTGCAGCTGGATCCGGCGCTACATCAAGCGGCTGGTCGAGCACAAGTACTTCCAGCAGGGCATCCTCCTGGCCATTTTGATCAATACGCTCTCGATGGGCATCGAGTACCACAATCAGCCCGAGGAGCTGACGGCCATTGTTGAGACGAGCAACGTTGTCTTCTCCGGCATCTTTGCCGTCGAGATGCTGCTCAAGGTAATTGCCGAGGGACCCTTTCGCTACATAGCCAACGGCTTCAATGTCTTCGACGGCATCATCGTCATACTCAGGTGAGCATTCACAATAGCTGTCAGTGCGCCCAGCTAACCTCCTCTCGCCCTCAGCGCCATTGAGATATGCCAGACGTTTGCGGGCAACGGCACTGGCGGCGGCGGCTCAGGTCTGTCCGTCCTTCGCACCTTCCGTCTGCTGCGCATCCTGAAGCTCGTTCGCTTCATGCCCAATCTGCGGCGTCAACTGTTTGTCATGCTGCGCACCATGGACAATGTTGCTGTCTTTTTCTCACTGCTCGTACTCTTTATATTCATATTCAGGTGAGTTCTACTGTAGCCAACACACACAGACACACTCAAACACACACACACACAAATATTTGCATGTGTACTAACAGCAATTGCCGATGGGGCAGGCGTCTGTGTGGCACACGTCTAACACCGCATAAACACCTAACAACAACAGAAACTAAACTGTAAAATGCGAAAGATATCATATCTATATAAAGGGAAGAGAAAACAACAAGAAAACTCCTGAAAAATGTTGGCAAGAGAAGGAAAACTGAAAGAACTCAGAGTTGGACTCAAGGCTAATAAATAATTGTATACGAATAAGTTGTTAATTTCATCACCAAGATTGTGAGCAAGTTAAAAAGCTCTAATCTATTCTCGTAAGATCAGTTGGGAAATATCAAGAAAATATTTGAGTTAAACTTGTTTCGAATGCGGTTTCCATTAGTTCTCAAGAGTTAAAAGATAATGTTAAGCCAAGAGCTCGAGTATTGTACAATATCTTAGTTTAGAGTTCTTTAAAGTCTTTTGAGCCAGAGTGCAGTAGTTCTTAGCCATTAGATCTTAAGTTGTAGCATTCCTTCGGGTATTAGATTGACGAATACAATTTCAAAATGCAGCTATGTATATGCTACATATGCCAAAAATATTATAGGAATCCATTGTGAACAATATGAGATCTAGGTTAAATAGCTATGAACCAAGTATGGTCTAAGTCGAGTATTAGACGAAAATCGAAGCCAAAGCTGAAGAGAACTTTAAATACTTTAGCCAAGCATAAAATTAAAAGAAACTTCAGTCATATCTAAATTTGAAGACTACTAGAATCAGATCGGAAATTTCAGATAATTACCATCGATACGTCCCTCTCTTTGCCAACGATTTCATGGAGTTCGAGCTGAGCTGAGCTGAGCTCAATTTCCACTTAAGTCACACACAGACATACACACATACATACATACATACCTGCATATATATAGATATGTACAGTAATGTATATCGTAATGCTGATGCGCATCCAATTAATCCAAACACGACCCACTAAACCACTAAACCACTGACCCGCCGCATCAGTGACCCACTAAACAGTTGAGTGTGTTACTCTAATTTTTTATCGTTAGTTCATGGCTCTTAGAGCTTCGATAATGTACCGAAGATGATGTTTAGCAATCGTCTGGTCTTCTATACGACATAGAGTTGCGTAATACTAATCTGCTTACTCAATGCTAGCCTCTAATTAGCCCCTCAGTTACAACAACAACAACAACAACGACAACTAATAATGATCTAAGAGAAATAGTTATTAACACACACACACACACACACACACTTACACACTTGACATTCACAACATCTATAGAACAGATCGTTCACATACTCAAAGGGAAAGGAGATTGCCTAGCAGAGCATAGATGTGTCAATATACATACATATGCATATATATGTATATATGTCGTATATATAGTCACTTATATGCTTGTGCAGATGGTCTACTGCTCTCTCGCTCTCTCTCTCTCACTCTCTCTCTTTTTCTCTCGCTTTCTAACAATCTATTTCTATCTCATCAGACGCAAACAAAATCAATTCAGATCCTTTCTCTATCTGTCTCGCTCTCTGCCTCTCGCTCTGCACAATCACATAAATGCATATGCGAGCTAGCTTTCCGTTTTCTCGCTCTATCGCTCTCTTGCTCTCTTGCTCTTTTCGTCATCTTTTTGCTCAGCTATATGCATATGCGCTATCTCTGACTCTATCAAGGTCACACTCACTCTCTCTCTCTCAGTTCCTATCGCTAATCATCTCACTCACATACTGACATATGATCTGTCTCTCTCTCTCTCTCTCTCTCTCTCTCTCTCTCTCTTTCTCTGTCATCCACATTATATATCTTTCTCTTGCTCTTTTTCCATCTTGTTCGTGATTTCTCTACCGTTCATTCTATAAAATATATGCCATTTTACTCTTCTCTCTCTCTCTATTTCATCACATTATATATCTCTATCTTCACTCTCTGTTACTTCTGCATCATTGAACTCTTAACACTCACCCTCAAAAACCGTAACAAAAACCCTTTTAAAAAACTAAAAAACAAATATAGAAACAAACGTATTTCAATTTTTAGCCCTGGTTATAACTATACTCGTTTTTATGCGTACCATTTGAGTAAACGATTGAGTTAGCCTTTCTCTCTCTATATATATCTCTTTATCTATCTCTCACATATACACATACACATGCAGTTATTCTAGCTCTCTATCTCTCTCTCTCTCTCCCTGTCTGAATTACGTGTACTCGTTATCTCAATTTGTAGTTAGAGTTTTACAATCCAATCCAAATTGATCGACAATTTCAGTCTCTGTTTTCAAACTCTCTCACTCACGCTCTGTTTCTGTCTCTTTTACACACATACATACTCTTTCTGTATATCTAGTTGCTGCGCTAGTTGCCCTACACACACATCGCACACGTTGTATTCCAAATATAAAGAAAACAAAATAATACACTGAGAAAAATCAGATCGAAGTTAATGTATGCGAGTGATTTGGTCTGTCTCTCTCTCTCTCCCTTTCTTTCCCTCTCCCTCTGTTTTATTACCAACTTGCCAACGATTCGTGAGCATCAACAAGGCTAGTTCTCTCTCTCTCTTTCGCTCGCTCGCAGACTCTCTATCTCTCTCTATCTGAGTCACTCACTCTGTCCACTCGTTACTTTTTCAATTTACCTCTTCTCTCTCTCTCTCTCTTTTCATTGTTTTCTTGTCACAAGTCTCTTGCCACTCTCGCTACTCTGTCTATTCGTCACCCACCCTCTCCATTTTGCGTGCTCTCCAAGAAGCTCGACTATTTACTTATCTTGTTTTATTTTTCGATTTGTGTTAACTTCTCACTCGCTTCTCGCTACCCAGGAAACTCTGTTAAACACCAACAACAGCAACAACACATACAACAATTAGTTAGTTCCAAGGCTTAACTAAATGTGTGTCCTAGCTTTTTGGCATTTACCAACACTGAACTTGAACAAAAACCAAGCAAACCAACAAACACAAGGCTCAAAATTACAAACACATTTTATTTTGTTAATACAACACAATTGGAAACAACAACAATTAGTTAAAAACACAAATAAAAGTAATAGTATTTTTATAATACTAAACGTTAAACAGTAACTATCGAGTCGTACGCTTATTGTGTAGTTTTGCAGTATACAAACTATATGTATGTATACATATAAATGAATTATATATGTATACACACTTCATATATCTTCATATATATCTCTCTCTCTCTCTCTCAGTTCTCAATAACTTGTACTACTATTACATGCTCTCTTTCCTATATATTATATACTATTGACATTTCCATTTTTAAAACTCTTAATTTTTATTAACTTTAAATCGTAAAATACCAAATAAATACTAAAAATACAGATATATGCAAAAATACCACAAAAATATACCAACTACATTTTTATTCTAAACCAAAGTTTAGTTAGCTTAGTTGCTCTGTTCTTGAACTAAAAGTCGTAAACGTTTGCGTAGTTAGAACAAAAAAAAAAAATACAATAACTATCTTAAAAATATCTTTAAAAAAATACTACAGTCATATACTGACACATATAACACCAACGACATAGATCACAACTACTCTGCAATGAAAGAAAACTTAGAATGTGTCCCCCTGATGACTCAGATGCCCCACACATACACTCTCTATCCCTCTCTCTCTCTCTCTCTTTCTGTCTCTCTTCTATCTTCTCTTGAACAATAAAAAAAAGGTATTAAAAGAAATACTAGAAAAATACTAATAATACGACTTGAATAAATCAACAATATTTTCTAGCACTCCATTTTCCAGTAACTTTTATTTTCGTTCCGTTTGTCCGATTCGTCAGCTTTGAAGGCTCGCCTTTCTGCGTGAAAGCTGAAATTCAAAAGTTATTTTTTGGATTTGCAGATTATGAAAAGTGAAATTAATTTTGATTTTCCAATTAAAGCTCGCTTGCTGCTCACTTACAGTCACAATCTCTCTCTCTCTTTCTTTCTTAACTATCTCTTTCTCTCTCTCTCTCTATTTCTCTTTCTCTCACACACACAATTGCTCTACTCTTAAATATTTTAATACTAAAACTTACTTTTAAAACTAAAATATATTAACAATAAAAAA